GTTCACAGTGAGATGCCCCAGGTTCTGGCCTGGGAGCCCTCGCCTCTTAGCTGGTCATCAGCCCTTGCTCAGGTGGCCACGCTGATGGCTGACTGCTTTGCTTTGCTGCCTCCTAAGGTGAGGCTCTCTGACTCAGAGTCTACCAGCCCCTGCTGTGATTCTTTCTACCTCCTTTTCTCTGGTGGTGATGATGGTATTGGTACTGGGGATTGAACCGAAGGCCATCAGACTAAGCACCTCAGCCATATTTTTATATTTTCTTTGAGACAGGGTTTCACTAACTTGCCCAGGCTGGCTTAAAATTTGAAATCCTATTGCCTCAACCTGTTGAGCTGAATCTTCTGGGGTTATAGGCATGTACCTGCAGGCCTGGGGGGTTGCCACCTGTAAGGTCACTTCCCTACAATCCCTAGATGCAGGCCTTAGGTGGGGTCCCAGGCTGGACCCAGTGTCCCTCCTATCCCTTTGGACACCCCAGTCTCTGTATTGCTTTCTACTGACTGTGTATCTGCATTGGAGCCACCCATGACTGTTGGTAGGCATGGAGGAAGAGGGAGGAAAGGAATTAGGAACAATGGAAGGGGAGAAAAAGAGGAGAGCAGGGAAGGAGGAAGATTGATTCCGTGCAGAAGGATGAGATGGATGACAGTATCACTCAGTCTTAGTCACCTATGACGGACATCCTTCCAGCTCTCTGGCAGATTCACCAGAGTAGAGCAGAGGTAACATTATAGCTGTCATTCCACTTTTAGGTAATGCTGTGCATGTTAGATTAACATTCACTTTCTTTCTTGAGTTTCCTGCCAGACCTATAATGTCCCACTTTCCCTGGAACTGCGAGGGGCTGATGATAGGCAGAGCCCCGGGATAGTTCAAGAGCTACCTCTCCCACACTATTCCTCCTGGTACCACTGGGCAGCCTATGGGGTGAAAATGAGCCTGCCCTCAGAAGCCACCAGAAGCTGGGTCCCTCCTGGCCTGAAAGGATCCTGGACTAAGAATTTCTTGTGTTGTCAGGAATAGGGTGGCCCTAGGCAGGTGGCTGGTGAACCTTTCAGAGCCTCAGTTTTCTCTTGTGTGGAAGGATTGAAGATGTCTCCACCTGGCATGACCTGGTCCTGGATTCATGAGTCCTGTTCCCTTTACCTCCCCTCCTGTTTGCTGTTACTCTCCCTGCCCCCAGGACCTCCCTGAGGCTGCCCTTCCAGAACTCTTACCTCATCATCCTGGAAGTCTGCCTCCAGAGGGATCTTACTCAGAGATGGGCTGGGAATCTGGGATGAAGGGGAGTCCTGTGCTTGGGTCTGCAGGGTCCCCAGCATGGTGAAGCCCAGGCACAAGAGAGCCAGGACCATGGCTTCAGAGCAGCTACTGGGTTGGCAGGTGTTGGAGGAGGAAGAACAGGGCTTCAGTGCCAAACCCAGGAAACTATTTATGGGCCATGTGGCTACCTCTATCCCTAGGTTGGGCAGATACATCCTTTGCTAAATCCAGCAATTGGTAAGCCAATTTCCAGAAAGTCTTTCAGAAACTCTTGACACCGTATCTGGCCTTTCCCCCTGCTCAGCACTGTGCAAAGTAGAGGAGGGAGGTGACAAGGGACAGGTGGGACATTCCCAGAGCTCCTCAGCATGGCAGGGACAAGAGCTCCCTGTGTGCTCACTGTGCCTCTTCCCCTTCACCTCACTGGCCCTGTCTGTGGGTCTCCACTCAGGTCCAGACAAGCTGTCTTCTCTGACCCTGTGTGTCCAGGTGGTGGTGAATGTGGCAAGGTCCCTTCCCTGTACCTGCATAAAGTACAGAATGCACCAGGCATGGTGGTGCACTCCTGTAATACCAGGACTCTGGAGGCTCAGGGAAGAGTATTGCTGGGGGTTTGAAGACAGTCTGGGCTACTTAGTGAGCTCAAGGTCAGCCTGAATTACATAGGAAAAGCATCACACAAAAGAAAGAATGAAATAAAGGAAGGAAGGAAGGAAGGAAGGAAGGAAGAAAGAAAGAAAGAAAGAAAGAAAGAAAGAAAGAAAGAAAGAAAGAAAGAAAGAAAGAAAGAAAGAAAGAAAGAAAGAAAGAAAGAAAGAAAGAGAAAAAGAAAAGAGGGAAGGAAGGAGAAATATTTTGCTCTCACAGGTCCTGTGCTGATTCCTGGTTATTCTAAAGGTCAGGAAATGGCAACATACTGGACACTGAACAGTGGACAGGGAAGGACAGGGTTTCTGCTCTGAGCACCTGAGCCCAGATCCTGGCCCTCACAGGAGCCCCCAGGCCAAGCCCTGAAGCATGGTGAGATGCCTTGAACTCCTCCTGTGCTACTCACCAACCCATTTGCAGGAGCAGAAAGGGCAGCAGAGACTCTCATGGCCCTGGCCCCTCATGTGAGCCCAACAGACAGAGACCTGGAGCCAAATACACGGGTCATAGACGTGGCTACAGTCACAGCTCACCTCAGAACCTGACCACGAAGGGCAGGTGCAGACCAGGGCAAGCTGGTCTGTACTCTGATGCTATGTGCACCAGTTGCTTTGGGTCACAGGATTTTGCCTTGTCCTTGAGAAGTCATTCAGATTAATCCTCTGTGCCTAGCCACATCCTTGGACTGTGAAGCAAGGGGCTCAAGTGTGGAGTCTCAGAAATGTCCCTGAGATAGCTGATCCCAGATTTGCCCCAGGTAGAGGCCCTTTTCTACTGGAGGCATGGAAGCGATGAACCCCAAGCCCTGTGTTACATCCCTCTGAGATGGCTCACCCCTGAAGGCAGTGACTATCATGGATGCCTAACCCAAGGCTGGAACAGAGATTTACTGGCTTTATATGGAATTAAAAGGGCCCTCATTGGCTCTCTGCCTACTGCTTGGGCCCAATCTTGGGCAATAGGGTGGTAGACCCTAAGGGAAGGGGCTTTAGATGGGTCCTATGAAGGTGAATAGTGTGCAGCCTCAGCCCCCTACTCTAGACGGCCCCCCTACTGTACCCCATCTACCCAGGCTGATTGATGAAAAAGCAGGAAGTGAAGCTGAGCAAAACTGTGGCCACCAGAGCCTGCCACCCACACAACTCCCTCCCCTCTCTTTCCCCAGTCCATAGGGCTCCACCTCACTATTCTCAATGAGAGGTATCCTGAATGGTGGTGTGACGGTGCCTGTCTGCATTCCCGGCACTATGGGAAGCTAAGTCAGGAAGTCTGAAATTTGGTGCCCACCCTGGACGACTTGGGAAGACCATGTTTCAAGATAAAAAGGTGCTGAGGATATAGCTCAATGCAATATCCAGAACTGAATAAAAAAAGCAGAAAAGAAAGTCAGAGACAGCCTTGTATAGGGAAAACTTGGATCTCAGGTACCATCTGTGAGTGGCCTCCCAGATCAACAGATCAGTTCTTCTTCCTCACTTTGGGAGGTGAGTACAGGGGTGAGGGTAGGGCAGAGATCTGTGCAGCACCATTCTCTCTGCACTGACACTAGGCCTGTCTCAGACCCCCAGGCCTCATCTCTGTGTTGGTCTTTGCCTTTGCTGACACCTGGCGACATCTCATTATCCTCTTTCCTCTGGCTGCCTTCCACCCTGGTTTGTTATGGCTTGTATCTAGATGTCCTCCAACAGCTTAGGCAGTTATAGGTGGGGCTTTTTCAGAAGTGGCTGGATCTAGAGTGTGTAACTCTGGGATTGATTCATGGTGCAATGCTAAGCTCAAGGGCACTAGGATTAAGAGTGTGAGTGCTATCTGCCCTAAGTAGCCTGGATAAGATATAAGGGATAGAAGGAGGTGCGGTCCACCCTTGTTGCTTTGCTACCTTCTTCGTGCCATGAACTGTTTCTCCTTTTCAATGCCTGCCTGCAATGCCACCCTACCTTGGAGCCAGCCAATATGGACTGAAACCTCTACAAACTGAGAGCTAAATAAACCTTTCTTCCTTTAACTTTGGCTATTGAGTATTTTGTCTCAGCAAAAAGAAAAGTAACTAAGACATGGCCTCCTCAAAATGGGTCTCCAGAGGGGCCACAGCCAATTCAAGGTCAAAGTCTAGGCATCTGTGCTTAGCACTGCTCTTTCCTGCTCTTTGCCCAATTCTCTCCCTTCACCCCATTCCCACTGGCCACATTGACCCTACTCCTGTGTCTGTCATGTCAGGGCTGGAGACTGTTTACATGACCAGCAATCAGAGTGCATTTCTGAGATGCAAGACCTGAATTGTCAAGGAGCATCTCCCAGTACTCTGGTGGATTTGGCTAGGCTTGGGCTTGGCCTGTCCCTGGGAAGACAGGTCATTCAGGTCTCTCTCCAGAGAGCCTCTTGTGGACTGGTTCAAGATTTATTTTGGCTTCTGTTCCAAGAAAACCTTAGTATAAACCTGATCTAGCTGAAGCTGCTGCAGAATAGACCATAGCAGAACTCTGGATGCCCAGCCCTGGTTTCCGCCAGCAGGGACTTCACCTAAAATCTTCTATGGGCCTTGCTAAGGTCTCAGGGGAGTCCACAGTTACTAGGGAACACTGGGATTAGAGGCATGTACTATCATGCCCAGTGCATGCATTGCTTTCTGTGAGTACAGGGTGGGGGCCTCACCACTCACACACACACCGTGACCACACAGGTCAGCGATGACAGCTTAACAGGACCTGAGCTGGGACCCACAGACAGGACCATTCACAAGGGAAGAGGGAACTCTTGTCATCCCCCACCCCCAACTGTGGGTGTGGGGTTCTGGCAATATCTCTCCTGTGCACTGTGCATTATCACCTCCCTCCCTCCCTCCCTCCCTCCCTCCCTCTCTCTCTCTCTCTCTCTCTCTCTCTCTCTCTCTCTCTCTCTCTCTCTCTCTCTCTCTCTCTCTTGCACAATCCTGACCAGGGGTAAAAAGATCTTGCCACATGTTTCTGATTGGCTCACTGTTGCTGGAGGTAGCAAAGGATGAATCAGCCCCCTTAGGGGGAGTAGCAGCCAGTCAGTGCATAAATAGTTCCCTCAGGTAGACTCCCAGCCCACCTCTTCCCCTTCGAACACCTGCCAGTCCAGCAGCTACCCTGAAGCAATGGCCTTGGGTCTCCTATGCCTGGGCCTCACCCTGCTGGGTGCTCTGAAGACCTATGCCTCAGACATTTCTTCAAACCTGCTCCCTACGTCATCTCTGAATGAGGTCCCTTTGCAGCCAGACTTCCAGGAAACATTGGTAAGGGCTCTAGAAGGGCAGCTGCAGGGATGGCCCAGGGGGTAGGAAAATGAGAACCAAGGGGGAGGAAAGGCAAAAGTATTTAGGGTCATTGTCAGTGGGAGGAGCAAAACTAAATTCAGGCCATGTCACATGGGCTCACCTTCAGTCCCTCAGCACTGATGAGAAAACTAAGCTCCAAAGCCCCACCAGTCATGTGCCCAGAGCCACCCCATACACTGACAACTCAGGACTAACTCCTCTCCCAGAGTCCCAGATCCTGCTAACTGCTCATAACAGACCCACACCCTCGCCGTGCTACCCAGAGGTCCCAGCAGGGGCAGCATGGGAGGGGTGCATCTGGGTCCATCTCTGGGCTCTGCCTGTCATCAGCTGCTTGCAGTTCCAGGGGAAGTGGTACGGCATAGGTGTGGCAGAGAACACAAATAAGAAGGGAAAGCAAAGGAAGATAAACATGTTCAGCACCATCTATGAGCTGAAAGATGACCATACCTACAAGGTCACCTCCACCCTGCTCAGGTAAATCCACCATTTCCTTGGAGTCTGAGAAGCAGACCTATGTCTCACCAATTAATGACTCTGACAGGGATATGGTCATTATTCTTACCACTATTCACCAAGTCAATCTTCCTCCCTCCCTCCTTTATTTCTTTTTTCCCTCCTACCTTTCCCAGCCTTCCCTTCCCACCTCTCTTAATCTCTCCCTTCCATCAACATTCATGGTTGGTTCCAGCACATACATACAAAGTCAACAGAAAGAAGAAAGATTAGGCTATCCCAAAGGAGGGACACTGGATCCAGCCTGAGGCCTCACCAAAGGATTCCCTCTAGGGCTTGGAGGAAAGGAGGAAAGTAGCTGGAGAGGCACCAACCTCCCTGTAATCCTAGCAGTCTCAGCTCCAAGGGCTTAGGCAGGAAGACTCCAAGTTTGCAGCCAGCCTGGGCAACATGGCAAGACCCTGTCTCAAAATAAAAAATAAAAAATGTCCTGAGGATATAGCTCAGTGCAATGGCCCTGTATTCCATCCTCACTACCACCACCATAACCCAAAAGAAGAGTTGCATGAGTCACAGGAGGGGCTTGTAGACTCTGCCTCTGAGAGCCTCACTTTAGGAGGTAGCAAAGCAGCCAGGCAGCAGCATGGTCACCTGAGCAGGGGCCGATGAACAGCCACCCAGAAGAGGTGCACTCCCAGGCCAGTTTCTGGGGCATCTCACCCTGGCCTAGGGTTTCTACAAGGGCCAGGGTCTGGACACAACCACAGCAGGAGAGGTGGGAAGAGCTGCGAAGGTAAGGCTGGGCAGTCCTAGGTGGGAGATGACAGAGGTGGGACAGATGAGGACTCAGACTGGGGAGCTTGGGCTCACCCACCTGCAATACATTCTGGCTCTGGCCACTGGGTAGAATTGACTTGGCAGCATTTCAGGTTGCAATGGCACAAGGAAGGTAGGTTTTGCACAGCTTGGCTCTGTGTTCGGGGTTGGGGTGGACTCAGTTGTCAAGTCAGTTTTGGCCTAAGGTCTAGAGCAATGCTTGGTATAAGCAGAGTGGAAGCTCCGAGTAAATTGACAACAGAGATGGGAATGGGGAGAAGGAAGATAAGAGCAAAGGTCAGTGCCTGAGGTCTGTGTGGGGGACAGGCTGCCCTGGGGCGGGGGGGCCAGTGGAGGGAACAGTGAGTACTGAGGGGAGGGTGGAGCAGCCCCCAAAGCAGGCCAGGCAAAGGCTCAGAGAGGAAAGCCAGGGTCATGGGAGTGAGCCAGGTTGGGCCTCTGCAATAATGAAGGACAGGTGGTCATGGGCTGGGCTGAACCAGGGCCTCACAATCCCGCATTAGCCCTGACCCCACTTCATCCCGCCCAGGGGACCAAGTGTGTGTCCTCTCCACACTCACCTCCTAACATCTCTCCCTCTCACAGGGGCCAGGTCTGTGACCACTGGACCAGAACATTTGTCCCCAGTGTCTACAGTGGCCAGTTCACCCTGGGCAATATGCCAAGTGAGTTCCTCCTGGGGGTGGGGAGGGGCAGGGGCAGTGGAATTCAGAGGGCAGAGTCCTCCCAGAAGGCCACAGGCCTCCCTGCCCCACACAGATGCTGCCCTGTGCAGAGAAGACCCTGCTGACTGGTCCTGGAGAAAGGGGACAGTCCCTTCCTCCAGGCCAGAGCAAGAATGGCCCTGTCCAACCACACTGCAGGTTTCTTTCAACTACGGAGCTACACTATAAAAGTTGTAGCCACCAACTACCATGAGTTCGCCATAGTGTATATCGAGAAGGATTTCACAAGCTCGGTGCTCTCCTCGGCCACTCTCTACGGTGAGTCCTCACCCCACTCCCACAGAGATGTCCTGGCTGGTCACACTTGGAGGTGGGGGCCCCTGTTGCCCAACACCTCGAAGTTTTCTCCACTATGGGCCCCCTCAGCAGGGAGGTCTTGGCACAGACCCTGAATGGGAAAGGGTTCTGAGGCCTCACTCACGTATCCAACATCATTTACGGAGTGAGTTAGGCGTGGTGAGCCACGCCTGTCACCCTGACACTGCGGACATTGAAGGAGGAGAATGCAAGTTTCAGGTCAGCCTGAACCCCACAGCAAGACCCCGGCTCGAGAAACTTTCAAAAAATAACACATTTCCCTCCGCTGTCCACTCATTGCCATCTTGGCCACAGGGAGGACCAAGAAGCTGGGTCCATCCTTAAAGAAGGACTTTGTCAACTTTGCCACATTTCTGGGCTTCAATGAGAACACCGTCTTCACTGAGCCCACAGGTAATGGCCACCTAAGGAGAGGGTAGGGGATGTGGGGTCCGTCCAGGCCTGATGCTGCCCCACCAAGTAAAGGGGGATAGAAGAGTCTCAGCTCCCTGCTCCAGGCACTGCAGCATTCTTAGCTCCCACCCTGGCATCTGTGGGTCCTCAGGGATCCTGACCCCAAGTGCTCCACCTGACAGTTTAGCCAAGGTCTGTCCAGATGACAATTCAGGCCCGAGCCCAGGCTTTACCCGTTTCACTGCCCTCTGCCACCCTCTTCATATCTAGTGCTGTCGTATAGGCCACTTCCTTTCCATACTTTGGGTCTTGCTGTCATGTCCCATCTCCCCTTCCCCTGAGGCTTGCTTATTCCTGATGCGGGAGATGTCCTTGCTTTCCAGAGACCTGCTCTGGGAGCAAGTTCCATCCGTGCTAGCCAGGGACGCTGACTCAGAGGTTTCCATGCCTCAATATGTAACCAGGTTGCAGCCATGGTTTACAAGCAGCTGTGAGGCTCACATACTCAGGAGAGACCATTCACAGGCCCTGAAATTGGGAAACGCCCCAGATCCTCTGCAGCTGGGTTAGGTTGGACCTGAGGCACTATGGGCAGCACTGGGGTCCTGGCACCCAGAGATCACACAAGTTCACACACACAGGCACATGTATCCCTGATTGCTATAATTTTCTTTCTCCCCCACAGAACAATGCATTGATGACTGAACAGTGAGTATGGCTGGGCAGGAGGCTGATGGGAGGCCTGGGCATGGAGGCTTGGTGTCTCAAGCCTGCCTTTCTTCTTTGCTCCCATCCTGAAGGCTGACATTTTTGCTCTGCTTTCCACTCTCAGGTGCTTCTCATCTCTTCACCCCCTATTCTTACTGTCACTTCTACCCAAGATGCCACCTTGCTGTCCCACCAGCCATAATGCCAACAAAAGAGATGAAAGGCCCTTCTTACGGTGCAATGCTGCCCAACCAGCCATCCCAAAGACACCCCTGGGAAGAAGCCTCCCTTGTCTGCTAAATAAACACGTGACCTCAGGTCTCCACGTCTGTATTTCATGTCCTCTGGGCCATAAGAAAGGAGTAGGGGAAAGGGAGGGCTTACACCAGCCTCACTCCCAGGGCCTGCTAGTCCCAGAACCCAGCCTGATGTTAGGGTGCAGACCAAAGGCACAGACAGAGGGGACTCCAGGCTCCCCTGGCACCTTCATCACCATGTTTGCCTTGAGTCTTGCCTAGGCAGAATGATGGGCCCTGGGACCACCTGCAAAGCAGCCTAAGAGTTTCCTCCTCCAACAGAAGCACTGATGGGGCCACACTTCCTGACTATACTTAGCCACTGGCAACACATCCCACAGCAGCAGCCTCATTAGTGCTGGGGAGCTAGAGGAGCCTGGAGGGGGTATAAGTGGAACCCACCCCAAGCTCACCAGGACCCTGTGGTTGCTGGGAGATGGTGACCATAACAGGAGGGTGCATGTTGGTGGGGCTGCAGCAGAGCCCTATTCCAAGCAGAGGGTGAGCAACAGTGGGTCCCTGCTCCTCCGCTGTTTTCCTGTGTACATGGTCCCAAACTCCTTCCACCACCGGGTGGATCCACATCAATGCTGACCCTATGAAGATCCCACTACCACTATGATGACATCCAGACCACATGAGGGTGCATTCTGAAGCCAGCAACATATTCCCCCATCTATCCAGGCTCTGCTCTGGCTTCAGCCTCCTAGGAGAAGATTCACATGACTGGACTTGCGTCCAGCCTTACAGGAACCTATCCCCACGCTGGATGAGCGGCAGCTGGTCCCAGTGTGCAAGACACAGGAATCCTTCCTGCCTCTTCTCCTCTTTTAAGGACTATAGCTAGACTGCATGTGGCTCTGAAAGAACTCTGGCTTCCCACCCCACAGACATATGCACTACCACTTTCTCCTGAAATTCAAAGGCAACAGAAACTAATAGTTCCCCCAAAACCCTCTGAATTGCCTTAAGATTTCTGTCAGTGGAAGGAAAGGGTTGGCTTAATTCTTTCCTCCCCCAGTCTTTGAGTTCCCTTGGATGAAATTAGGCCCAAGTGGTTTACTTCAAGGCTATGGAGCTATGCCTTCAGCCCAGGGACTTTGTAATTTCCAACTGCTAGAAAGTTTAGTAAAGCCTGAGTGCCTTGTTTTAACAGTTTTTCTGAAGGGACCCATAAAATTATATCATCCACCTGTTATAAGCTCTTAGTCTGAGAGTGTTCAAAACAAGCCAAATCCTGCAAAATCACCTGCCCAAAGACATGAGGGCTATTTCACACTCCCTGGGGCAATAGCATCCATATCAGCTCAGAAGCCCAGACATAGAATCTTCAAAGGGAAAAAGAAATTGAGAGTCAAGATGTAAAAGGACACAGAAAAATGGCATCTTTTAAATCCAGCACTGTAACCATTCTGTATCCTCTAGTATCTGAGACAAGCGAGTGGAGGCGTTGGGCACCACTGGGTGAATAGGCACTACTGCCACATTGATCAGTGGGGGATCATAAACCAATCTCTCTTCTCCATTGGGTTTTTGGACTCCCATCATTTGGGTATTGCAGGAACTATTACAAGATCTAACAGGGCCTTGTGCCTTTAAATTATAAATAATAGACTGTGGCCCTTTTCTAGCCTCTGGTTTTAATGGGTGTTGCTTTTGGTGAGGGAAAGAAGTGAGATCTTTGAGGTGGATCTGCAAAGGCTTGCCCTTATTCCTTTTCCTACCTTTCCCTGTATTGCCTGTGCCTTTGGAATTATCTCTGTCTCCACTAGGGGGAGGTAAAACACTGGTTTAGAATGCATGTAAATGTTGTTTAAATGGCACAGAATATTGCATCCTGGGAGGGAAACAGGACTCTCGGGCATAATCAAAAAGGCATGTGAGAATAGTCATCCCAGCTGCAACTAAGGAGCAGTGAAAAATATCCTACTGCAAACTTTTTAGCCATACCTTTTACAGTTGTACTGTTTGACAAAGGAGGACCAGTACTGGAGAGGAGTACAGAAAAATCTAGCACCAGTACCTACCAGAGGACTGACTTCTTTTCGCTCAATAGTTATGATTATTTAGGGCTCCTCAGTGGAGATGACAGTGTGATAAAAGGGAGACTGTGACAAGTGTCCTGGGGCCCTTCGGTGCTGTTGAAGCTGCTGCTAACACAGGTTTGTCCTTGAAAATCTTGGTCTCTGGGGGTGATCTGACTTCCAGTAATCTCCATTACAGACTGGGCACAATTTGTGGTGATGACCCTTATCCCAGTCCCTCTTGAAGTGCCCTGACTTCCGACACCCATAGCAGGTGGGCGAAGTGGATTGGATTTTGCCCTAAGAATCCTGTCAGTCAGACTCAAAAGAAGGCCCTCAAAGGGCAGGTACAAGGGCTGTTGCCTTTTCCTGATCCTTTCTCTACCTTTCTTCAGCCTCTGCCCTCTGCTCTTCTGGCCTTCTATAGTGGGTAAGATGTTCATCTTCAAAAATTCTAGGCCCCTGCACAGCAGGCTCTCTCTCACTGATGGATAGAGTCTGATTTAAGAGAAGCCTTATGTCTTTCTATATCAAATCAAAAGACTGAGTATTGGGCTGGGGATTTAGCTCAGTGGTTTCGCTGCCTGCTACACAAGCACAAGGACCCGAGTTCAATCCCCGGTACCAAAAAAAAAAAAAAAAAAGATTGTGTACAACCTCTAAAAACTTCGATATACTTATCAGAGTCTCAGAAACTTTCTAAATCCTGTCCAATCTGTTTTAAATCAGTTAGAGAGAATGGCACATGACATACCTGGGGCAAAATTCTCCTCCTACTTCCTGGAGGAGATACAATCTCTTTTGGATGCTTGACTGAGTGGGGTGCAGGGGTTCAGGATAAAGCAGACAAATGAGCTCTGGTGAAGCATCAGTCTTGCTCACAAGCTGGATTCTGTTTTCCCTGGGCTATACCCACATTTCAACACAGTTCAGGGTTATCTCTTAATACCAAGAATGCCAGACCATTTTCCTCCTCTTTTACAGAACAAATCTATCTAAAGAATAGTATTGTCATTAATATTTCCCTCTGGTTTTCAACATTCCCCCATCAGGGGGTACCCAGGCCCTTCAAGGGTACAGAAAAATATTAAGCAGTGCTTCTTTAATGTCTGGGGATCCAAAGAATGCCAGTTATTAAGAATACATTCCAAGGGGGTGAGGAAATTCAAGATAGACATTGAGTTTCCCATTCTGAAATACAACCAGGGGAGAGAAAGGATCCCTGTGAGTTTGTCTTGTATAACTATTATTGGCCAGGTCATCCCCCAGCCTTTACATTGCCAGTTCAAGTGGCTGCAACCTGGAGTACCCTAGAAGCAGCAAACTGGACTCTACATACCTACCATTGCATCACACACACATTTGATCTTCTCTTGTGATGTTTTTCTGGAACCTATGCTGGGACTTCGTTTGTTTGTTTGTTTGTTCGCTGCAGCTCTGATGTTTCTTTACCATACAGAGATCAGAAGAGAGGGTTTTAGTTAAAGGTCTGTTAACAGGTCTAGGATAGCCATGAGTTGATTTTTTTAAAAAGCATAAGGTTATAGTCATTGATATCCACGGGCCTTCCCAGTGAGGAGGGTAAAACCAAAATCTTTCCCATTGTACCTTTGTTTGAATCCTTGAACAAGCTCTAAGACTGCAGGCCCTGTGCCAATTAGAAGTTTGGTATCCATCCCAGCCAACATATTGAAGGATGTGATACTGCAGATCCGTGGCTCAGAGACTGAGTAGGGTGGGGATCTGATCGTCTCCACAGCAGTGTCTGAAACAGCACACACAACTATATGGTAGGTGGAGAATTTGATAGACTCTCTGTAGGTATCAGACTTTGGAAGAGGTTATGGTCTGAATTGCCTTCTTAGTACAATTTGAGGGGGAGGGCAGCTGGTAAGAAATGAAGTGACCCATTAAAGAAATCCTTATCTACAGGAGGGACTTTGGCTCTCAAGCTGTTCTAATTTTTCCCCTATGCTAGAGTGACACAAAAATGCATTTTGGGATTGACTGTGGCCACAGACAAGGAATGAGAGTGATCAATACAAGCCCCCAAAATAAATCCACCATTTGTCTAAAGTAATCATGGCTAGCAAAGATAGTAGATACAGAAGGAAAAATCTTATTTTAGAGGAATATGAAAATCTCCTCAAATGGGTCTTAGCTCCTCATAACCCCATATTGGGTGCCAAGAAATGTCACTACATAACCTGAGTTTGTGTCTCACAAAGTCAAAGAATGAAATCAAGGACAAAGAGCTACAGAAGAGAAGTGTTTATTACGAAGAGAGAAATAGCTCTCAGTAGTAAAGAAAGGTCCCAAAAGTGGGTTGCCATGGGGACTTTTTGTCGAGGAGTTTTTATACCCAAAGATGGCCAAGGCTCAGATCACTCAGAGTCAAGCTAATATCAACCTATAGGACTAAAACTATGAGGAGTCAAGGCACATAGCAAGCATATGTCTGCAAGTTTTTCTTGGCCTCTATCCTACCCAAGTGGCTCATTAAAAGAACAGAGAGAAAAGGAAAAAATGTTTTTTCAGACTGATAGGAGCAGAATTTGTCATAGTGGTCACCCATCACCTCGCTTGTTACATTTCTGGACTTAATTGTCCATATAGTTCTTATTAATCCTTGACCTCAGGCTCCTGCTTATCTGATCAAGGCCTGGTCATCCTGACTACCTTGGGCTGGGATTTTCCCTAGCTGCCTTCTATCTTCTCCCTAACTTGTCTATCTATAATATTATCACCTAAGGCTTATACCAGCATCTGATCCCCATGCTGAGGATGGCTTACCCTCTTGGGCATTCAATGGGAGGCCAGCTCACTGCTGCAGCCATAGGGCCTCCTGACCACTTCAACTATAGAAGTCATAGTAAGTAAGGCTAATGGGATGTGGGCCTGACACTTAGTTGGTCCCCTAACCTATGGATCCAGGAGTGGCGTGCAGGTGAGGTGACTTTGTGCCTCTCTTTCCTCATAAGTACAGGACAGGGAATGATGACAGCTGGGCAACTTTATCTTGAAGGTTTCTCTAATAGCCAGTCACACTAAGCATGCTGCCTGGCTTAGAGACCTCTACTATCTACTGCAGCACCCACAGGAGGGGGACATTAAATCCTTTCCACACCAAAACCATGGACTGGGGCCAGGGATTTAGCTCAGTGGTTCTAACACCTTTCATGTTGGAGTGGAGTGGATGCTAGACAGCCAGGTTGGACACTGAAGCAAGTTGTCCCAGTCCATGAGGAGCCCAGAGGAACCAAGAGGAAATGAGGAGAGGGGCACAACAGTTACAAGCCACACCACCCACTCCCACCCTGGCCAGCACTGGAAAAATAGGAGAGTGAGTCACTTCTGGCTTCCCTCAGGGGTGTCAGCAGCATCCCTTAGTATAGGAGGCATCCTGCAGGCTGGGTTCAGGGGGAAAGCTTTTGTGCACCCCAGTCAGAGTCTAGCAGGGATCTGGGGAAAGGGTCAGCCTCACACACCAGCTGTGAGACTCAGCACTAGTGGGGTTGGTGAGGAACACACTGTAGACATTCTGGTGAGACTTGGTCTGACTCGCAAGTTCCAAGATCACAGGACACTAGAGGCTCTGGTCTCTGCTTACTCCCTTCCCACTGTGCCAGGTGCCAGAAAGGGAACTCAAGAGTCCTCACTGCCCAGACCTGTGTCACTCAGATGTTCCTTGCTGCATGTGTGCACCATGCCTGGCACTCGCCTGTCTCCCTTAGGCCCCACTGATGTTTTCCATGGTGGCCCTGAGCTGGTTCCTCATTGCCAGGCTAGGCAAAAGGAGGTTACCCAGGATAGGAAGACCCATGGTATGAAGAGGAGATGGCTCAGGACAGGAAGACACAAGATATGGACAAGAGGGGGCCCAAGATAGCAAAGTAGTACAATTAGCAATAGCAACAGCATCAAGCGCAGCCTAGAAACTGACATACTGTGGTAACTATTAATTTGGTACATTTAACCATAGGAGCAAGATCTACAGTTAAATAACATGATCCAACATAAAATAGGAACTTGTATGCAGTGAGTTTCCCCTTAGTAGAGTGATTTTTACCAGGGGTGGGGGGTGTTGTTAAGAGGGATAGGAGAAAAATAGATAAATGAAGAGCAATACAGTAAAAGCAAGGCTGAGTCACCCAAGCTGGAGCTCTGGAGATGGGGTCAGGGCTGGGAATAGCAATGCCCAGCTAATGCAGGAGTGAGAATGGCATCTTTCTGCTCATGGTGGTCTCAGGGTAGCCAGTGGCGATGATGACAGTAGAGGAACCTGGAGTTCTCTTTGTCCTGTGCCTTCTCTCTGCACCCTAACATTAGGCTAGGTTCTGGAGGCAGCCGGTCCTAGGAGTGATCCTCCTGTGCGCTTACACTTCACCCTCCCCTTCCCCATGGCCCAGCAACTAGGCGCTCACACTTGGAGATCTGTGGCATGATTTTATTTAGCACACAAGGGGCCTCCACAAGCAGGTGGTTTTTGTAGTGCCTCAGGAGTCAGCAAGCACTGAAGGAAGGGCCTCCGGCTCTCTCACTGGCGTACGGCTGGTGGACAGCCAGATGGCACCTTGGGCAGAAGTGACTGGGAGAACAGGGGGTACAGTACAGGAGGCACCTGAGAGGGGACAACAGCATATGCAAGACTGGGGTTCAGGGTAGAGGAAGGGGAAGAACAAAGGCAGCCCCGAGACCCCCAGCCCACCCTGCCCTATCTTCCCATCAGCCCCTCGCCCAGCCATACTCACTGTACATTCAGCCATCGATGCACTCCTCTGTGGGGAGAAAGAACATCAGAGGAGGCAAGGGTGGGGGCGGGGGGGTGACAGAGAGAGAGAGAGAGAGATACTTGGCTACCAGAACCCAGGCACTGCCTTTGGTAGCCTCAGGCCCAGTGTGGTCCATCTTCAGAGGATACAGGAATTTCCTGAATTGAAGGCCTGGTGTAGGCATCCCACAGGGCCTGAACACCAAGGCCTCTTGTGTTTTTCCCTGCAGATATCTCACAACTCCTGAACTAGGGCACTGATTGGCCTGGGTGGAGACCCCTACCCAGTCAGGCCTCTTGAAAGTAAGGACATCTCCTATGTCAGGAATCAGTAAACCTCAGGGGAGACCCAAGGTATAGAAGAGGTGGCCCAGGATGACAAAAGCCAACATACAGAGAAGAGATGACCCAGGGCAATGAAACTGGGAAAAGTTGGAACTAGACCTGAAATTATCACTTGAGCAGGCCTTGTTATAGTATCAGGAGGAGAACTTGGAACCAGCATTTCTGGGGACCGATAGATGCCTAGCTGGGAGCCACTCTCTCCAGTGACTGGAGCAGGGGACTATGTCTCTCCTATCCCCTTCCCCAGGTGGGACACCATCAGGCCTGGGCAGACCCCACATCCCCTTGCCTTCCCCTGATCTGGTCATTACCGATGGGCTCAAAGAAGATGATGTGGTCTTCACTAAGGCCCAGCGACTTGGAAAATTTGAAGAAGCATTCCTGCACTTCAGAGCTCAGCTCCTTGGTTCTCCCTGTGTCCACAATGGCCAATAAGTGACCAAGAGAAAGACATACCATAATTTTTTTTACATTTTTTGAGATAGGGTCTTGCTATGTACTTCTGGATGGCTTTAAACATATAAGCCTCCTCCCTCAGGCTCCCCAGTGCTGGAGGGCCGTTGGGTGCACTACCCCAGCTCATTCCATAAATGCTGTTGAATGAGTGAAGGAGGCCCAGACCCCTTGCCCAGGGAGGATCTGTGGAAAGGCTTCTTCCTTGAGGGAAGCCTGGGATGGAGAACTGCTGATATCTTAGAGATAGGGGCTTTCTCTCTTGTGACCAGAGGCCAGATCCCTGAGGGATGGAGTGAGGCCTCACCGTTGAGCTTGGCCTGGAAGTAAGTGCTGTTTTCTAACTTATACTCGATGTACATCATGGCGAACTGATTGTAGTCAGTGGCTGCCACTCTCCACGTATACCTTTCAGTCTCAGAATCTGCAGTAAGGATAGCAATGGTCATCCCTGACCTTCCGGTAGGAAGGAATTATCCCCTTCTTCCCCAACCAGTCAGCAGAGGTTTCTCCCAACAGGACAGCATCTGAGTGGAGGGGCAAGGAGGCCTGTGCCCTTCTGGGAGGAACCTGTCCCTTGAATCCCAACACCAGGGTGCTGCTCACTCAGGACTCACTTGTCATGTTGACCAGGGTGAACTGGCCGTGCTGGTCATACGGAACAAGTGTGCTGTTCCACTGTGCACATTTCTGGCCACTATGAGGGGGAGAGATGGTGGCTTGGTGAGCAGGGAGAAAACAAAGACTTTCCCCATGTACTGAACAAACTCATTCCAGGGCTACCACAGAATTCAGGGGCCCGTGACAGCCTGTCCCCTACTATAGCAGGCGCCTCTCCTGGCCTGCCTCGTGGCCCTGTGCCTTCCACCATGAACCTCTGCACGGTCTCAGTGGAGACAACTCCACCCTCCCTCCAGCACTCGCTGGCTCTGCTGCCTCCTTGAGGCAGCCTGTCCCACACAGACAGCCGGGCACTGGATGTTATCTCACTGCTCCCCTTTCCCACCTCATGTGGTGATTTCCCTGAGCTTCCAGTTTGCTCCATGCCAAGCAGTGACCTAACCCTTGGACCACACCTGACCTCTCCGCTGAGTCCACCCCACCCCTGGACCACAGAACCAAGCCCCCCAAGCTGGCCTTCCTTGTGCCCTGAGATTCTCAAATTCTCCAACTCCCCTCAGCCTAGTGGCCAGAAAAAGAATGCCCTGCAGGTGGATGAGCCCAGGATCCCCCTCCAAGTCCTCATCTGCCCCACCTCTATCATTCCCTACCCAACACCACCCGCCAGAGACCGCAGGGTCTTACCTTTGTGGTTTTTCTCACTTCCCCTGCTGAAGCTGCACCCTGAAGCTGCACCCAGATCCTGACCCTGGGAGGAGCCCCAGGCCAGAGATTGGACTGGGAGCACACCCTTCCTGGCCACTCATCAGCCCCTGCACAGGTGGCCATGCTGATGGTCGGCTGCTTTGCTGTCTCCTAAGGCGAGGCTCTCTGACTCAGAGAACACCAGACCCTGTTGTGGTCCATTCTACCTCCTTTTGCTTTTGTTTTTGTTTTTGTTTTTGTGGTGGTGGTGGTGGTGGTGGTGGTGGTGGTGGTGGGATTGGAGATTGAACCCAGACCATTGCATTAAGCTATATCCCTGGTCTGTTTTTTAGTTTTTACTTTAAAACAAGGTCTGCTTAATTTGACCAGGCTCGCTTCTAACTTGCAATCCTCCTGCCTCAGCCCCTGGAGCTAAGTCTGCTAGGATTACACCACAATTCAGGAAGGCTCCTATAAGGTCACTTTCTTACAAGCCCTAGAGGGAGGTTTTTGTGGGGTCCCAGCTGGATCCAGTGTCCCTCTCTTCCCTCCCGGAAGCCCTCTCTCTCTCTAGTCTTCTACTGACTGTGTCTGCATTGGCGCCACCCATGACTAGCAAGGAAAGAGAGAAAAGAAAAGAGGGAGGGAGGGAAGGAAGAAGAAATGGAAGGTGAGAAAAATGGAAGAAGAAAGGGGGAGCAAGGGAAGGAGGACAATTGCTTCAGTTCAGAGCAGTGAGATGAATGACAGTAACCCTCAGCTTTGGTCACCCATTGTTGTGACACTGCTGTGCCTCTTGAGCGGAACCTCTGGAAGGTGGCTGCTTCACCTGAGTCCAGTGGTGATGACATTGTAGCCATGGTCATCATTCAGCTGGAAGGTGGCTCTGGACATGAAATATGTCCAATTGGTTTCATTTCCTTTCTGAGCTGAGTTCACAGCCATGCTTATGGTGAACCAGTTTCCCTGAAACTGCAAAGGGTTTATGACAGGCAGAGCCCAGAGATGCCAGGAAGACACACTGTCTCTGCTGGTACCTCTGGACAGCCATCTGGGCTGCAGGGCCCAGGGATGGGTCTATCCTGACAATCCAGCAGGAGCTTGATCTCTCTGGAACCAAAAAGGACCCAGGGCAAGGAGTTAGACCTCAGTTTTCAGAGATGGGGTAGCCTTGAGCAAGTGGCTGATGGGCTGTCCAGAGACTCAATTTCACAATTATGGGGAGGGAACCTGAAGATATCCCCACATGGCAATGAGTCTGAACCCCATGAGTGCTGCTTCTCCCAACCAACATTGTCACTGGAGCCCTATTTTTGTTCTTCCCTCCATTCCCACTGCCCTCATGCCCTGGGCCTTCCCTCCAGCTGCACATACAAAGCCTTTACCTGATCATCCTGGAAGCCTGGCTGCAGGGGGATCTTACTCAAAGGCGGTGCTTGGATCAGGGTTGGAGGGACGTCCTGGGCTTGGGTCTGCAGAGCCCCCAGAAGAGTAAGGCCCAGATACAGGAGACCCAGGGCCATGGTTTCGGGATAGCTGCTGTGCTGCCAGGTAGTGGAGGAGGAAGGCGATGGCTTCGGTGTCCAACCCAAGAACTATTTATGGGCCAGATGGTGTCACCCTCCCTGGGGTGCTGACCCATCCTTTGCTAAATCCAGGAAGGGTGAGCCATCAGATGTAGTCAGATACCTGCTCTTTTCACCCCGTGGTCAGTATTGTGCAAGTCTGAAAGCTGGGAAGGCAACAGTAGACAGGGGGAACCTTGCCAGTGTCACAGTCTGGAGGGACAGGAGCTCCCCTTGTGTTCACTGGGCCCCTTCCCTTTATCTCAATGGCCCTGTCTGTGGGTCTCAGTCAGGGCTGGACAAGCTGTCATCTCTGAGGCTGTGAGCCCAGGGAGGGGGTGTGTGTGGCAAAACACCCTCCGTGTACTAAGCAGAAAAAACAGAATGCCCCAGGCATGGTGGCGCAGGCCTGTAATTCCACCTGAGGCAGGAGGAAAATTTGTATTAAAATGAAGAATTCAGGTAGTTGCAGGGTTCTTGCAACCCCCTTAAAGCTGACCTTTAAGTGACAGTTTAAGTCCATTAAATTGCCTGAATTTGAAAATAATCTGAAAAGTGTTAGGATAAAGATGTATGCGTAGCCCCAGGGATTTAACTCAGTGGTTCTGCAGCCTGCCTTGAAAGCGCAAGGTCTGAGTTCGATCCCCAGTACAAAAAAAAAAAGATGTATGCAAAGATCCCTGTTAGTTGATGTTGAGAGGAATGAGGATTTGGGTTCTTTATCTTTTCTCCTGAAAATATGACAATTTGAGGCTTTAAAAATTCATATAAAGAGACCTACAATTCTCACCACTGAGGTAGATGTTGTGATTCTTCTGAAGCATACTATATTGCTGTCTCTGTCTTTTGCACTTACAGATAGCAGATCCAGTGATAATTCTCTTTTACAGTTTTGTTTTAGTTTTAGTTTCTTTTGACACAGGGTCTTCCTGTGTAGTTCACACTGGCCTTAAACTCACTAAATGATCTTCCTGCCTCTCCTCCCAAGCCTCTCTCTTTCATAAAGAAATGGCTTAACTTTGGAACATAGGTATGTTTACGTGTTTCATTTGTCTTTTGTCTATGGTCTGTATAATATCCTTGTTTTTAAGCATCACCAAGCTCATGGAATTGTGGAGTTAGGTCTTCTCTGTGTTCAGGGAAACATAGGTGCGTAATGAGAGAAGACTTGAGTGTCTTCACTTTCAAATGTCTATCTGCCATTGTCCTCTCCCCCAGGCCATGGTTATGTGGTGCCGGCAGGAGTCACCCACATGGCTCCCTCAGAGCACCCCATCCAGCTAGGTGGGTCACCCATTGCTGGTGAGGCTCATGGAAATCAGAACTGTGTCCTTTACATCATCTTTGTATTGTCCCTTTCATAATAAAAACATACATTCGGGCCAGGGATTTAGGTCAGTGGTGCCATCGTCTAACTCACAAGCACAAGGTCCCAAGTTCGATCCCCAGGACCCAAAAAAAAAAAAAAAAAAAACACTTAAACTTACAGCACATTACAGCTAATTTGTAATTAATCTACTAAACTTCAACCATGTTTTAATTTTTAATGTGAGATTTCAAGTTTTGTTTTTAATATCTTTTTTAGACTATTGATTGTTCTAAACTTAAGAGGTAATTGAACGTAGTATGATAAAATGTGAATATTTTGCTGCTTTTGTGATCATCGATGCAGAGCTGACAAACATTTAGAACAAGAATAAAAGTTAGAATCTTGCCTGTCTCTTCACTAAAGAGATTCTAACATTGTGAACTGAGAATTGCTTCAGATAATTTTTATTTCGAAAACATAAAAATTGCAAGTTATGAAAACACTGAATTTTCTTCACTGTAAACCGCAAAACTAATTTTTTCCCCCTATGGTCTGACTTCTGAACGAATATGCTTACTCACTTCAGAGGGGTTATGGAGAAAAGCAAGGCTCTCAAGATGCTATTGCTTTGGGACACGCTTCCTGGGAGAAAAATGACTCATTTAGTCCTTTTGGGTTTGATTCTTTACTTCAGTTCCTGCCTCAGTCCTGGGCACCCACGCACTATTTCCCACCTGTGTATCTGTTCTGGTTTGGGAATTTTCCGCATTTCGCCCAGTTA